ACAACGAGGGTCACTGTCACCACTGTTAGCATGAGGCGCTACCTGGACCCTACAGAGGCTGCACAGGCAGTCCAACTCCTCCAGGATGGCACATCAATACATGCCATTGCCAGAAGGTTTGCTGTGTCTCCCAGCACAATCTCCTTTCACGTCTGGTGAAAGGGTCTGGAGATGCCGTGGACAACGGTATACTGCCTGTGACATCGTTTGGTGATGGTCTGGGGAGGCATATCCATGGAGAGACGCACAGACCTATACAGGCTAGACAACAGCACCCTGACTGCCATTAAGTATTGGGATGAATCCTTGCACCCATTGTCAGACCCTGTGCTGGTGCAGCAGTTCCTGGGTTCCTCCTGGTGCACGACAATGCCCGGCCTCATGTGGCGAGAGTATGCAGGCAGTTCCTGGAGGATGAAGGAATTGATCCCATTGATTGGCCCCCACGCTCGCCTGACATAAATCCAATAGAACACCTCTGGGACATTATGTTTCCATCCATCCGACGGCTCCAGGTTGCACCTCAGACTGTCCAGGAGCTCAGTGATGCCCTGGTCTAGATCTGGGAGGAGATACCCCAGGACGCCATCCGTCGTCTCATTAGGAGCCCCGACGTTGTCAGGCATGCATACACGCATGTGGGGGCCATACAAATGACTGAATACCATTTTGAGTTCCTGCAATTAAATTTCAGAACATGGACTAGCCTGCCACATATTTTTTTTACTGTAATTTTCGGGGTGTCTTTGAATTCAGCCCTCTGTAGGTTGATAATTTTCATTACCATCAAATGATGTGGCATCCTTTTGTTCCTAACACATCACCCAGTCCATATCAGGATAAATAAACAGCATGATTTTTTTTTTGAGCAGTGTAGTAAGAATCATCATTTCACTATCAGAGCTCTCCTTGCGGAGCCACTTCCACTGATCATGATTAAATTGAACTTGATCTCCAATTGGAGAAATTTACTTGATCAACAGTCGATACCGCACCTTGACGTCACCAACAAGTAGGCTGCAGTAGTGTTCTTTGACAAACATGGATGCCTCCAGTAAAGCACATTCACTTGAAAATTACTCTGAATTATAAACAATTATAATTTATTGAACAGTATGTAATAATTTCATATTTAAAGTACTTTCAGAGGTTTGAATTCTGAATATGACCGGACTTTGTCTTTAAAATCCATTCACATTAAATAAGTAAACCAATAAAAAATATAAAAATAAAAAAGTATCTTGAAATGTATTTTTACAGATACTTTGCATATATCTTACTTATATGCATGCTTATAAATGCATATTCCCATTAGTAGAATATGTTAAAATCAATGCCTCCTACAACTTCACATTAATTCCCCAAACCGCGTTTGTACCAGTAGATGGCAGTAGAGAGTCGCGTGCTGTTTAACTGAACAATAATAAGAGCTAAGAGGAAGCTACTGTCACTACTGTACGGATGTTCTGGCTTCATATAGGATGCTCATCTGCTCATATGTAAACATTTTACAGTTTTAAATGTTTTCAACAAACTTCTTAGTCCTTATTGGATTCATAACCTAGCTGGAGGTAGTATCTAATATTTTGATGTGTCACAGAGAAGAACGAGTGCAGCTATCTAAATAGCATTCACAGTAGCTCACTTTTAGGTTAGCTGTAAAAATATGTCCAAAACAAGAAGCTAAATATTAAATATGGCTATTATTTCTTTGAAAGGCTTAGTATATAGTGTCTAGGGGAGAAATAATAGTCGTTTTTGTATGTAATTTTTTTTTATTGTGATATTGCGGAATACAACCTCATATTTGTCTTTTTTCCCCCATCTCTTTCTGATTTGATGTGATTGTAAATAGGTCAAAGGTAAAAAAGAACCCTCTGGAATCAGGCCTTTGAGAAGCTGATGGTCCCGTTTCCAAGATGCCCTACCACTGCGTGGCTTATGGATGTGGCAAAACTGTAGAAGATGGGGTGACCTTGTTTAAGTTCCCAAAGGATCCAGATGAGTTTCGGAAATGGGAGAAACAAGTTCAGAGGACCCGCGTGAAGTGGGCGGCCACGCATTTCTCCCACCTCTGCAGCGATCACTTCGGCAAAGAGTACTTTGAGGGGAAGCTGCCATCAGGAGCTCTGAAGCTGAGGCCCGGAGCAGCTCCCACGGTGTTTGTCCGTCCACACTGCTCCCTCTGCAGCGGAGTGGGCTGCAGAAAGTGCCTGCCTTCCATCCAGCACTGCACCAACTCCACAGAGCGCAGGGATACTGTAAGATGCTCAATGTGGGGTTTTCTGCATGCCTCTTAGTGGGTCACAGTTAGAATGTAAATATTTTCACATTTCTTCGCAGGAAGAAAGCAAGGAAAAGGAGGCTGAAGATGAAAACATTGGTAAAGAGGAAAGTTTGCCAAAAGGAAGGAGGATCTCCAGGGGAAAGCAGAGAGGCGATGAACCACGTAAGGAAGGATAATGAACAACAAGGCATCTTACAGTAGCAGCCATTTAAAATGCCCCTTCCCAGTTAAACCCCAGCTGAATGGCAGCCCACTTCCCTCCCAACTCCCAGCAAAATCCCCTCCAACTTCCAGCCACTGGAGTGACCTGTTTTCTACTCTGACTCCTCCCTTTCACTGAATTACAGGGTCTAACCAGGAGATGATGCTTCTCTTTAGATCTTAATGTCCACAAATCTTGACAGAAATAATATTTTAGTACAAAGATTGATGTTTAAAAAGGAATAGTTGGGGACCAGCCAAGGACCCATCCAGGAAAGTGGGGAAATTTTGAATGGCTATACTGTATGATGAAAATGTTTCTTGATGTTTTGTATAAAATGAGGGTTCTGATTACTTTCTCCACTTTACAGTGATTTGTGAGATGTGTGGAGTGACAGGAAGTTTCAACACCTTCTTCTCAAAATCAAAACGTTTCTGCAGCTTATCCTGTTCTCGTTCCTTTTCCTCAAACTCCAAGAAGTCCTCCATACTGGCACGCCTGCAGGTCAGAGTTAAACCTATTCTCGTAATTTTATGATTTTATATTTAGCAACTTTTCA